TTAAAAAAAGGAAAGAGAAAATTGAAAAGCAGAAAAACATTGGTGATGAGTCATGTGTTCGCATTATCCCTTGCGGCTGCCGACTTTGTTATTGTGCATTATGTTTCTCTGCACGCAGCAGAGCGGGCATAAATTTTCCCCTCACCAGAAAACGCATTCCCCCCTGTCCCCCAACCTCTCTCTCTCTCTCTTTGTCTCCCTCTCTCCGTCTCCCTCTCGCCCTCTCCCTCTCGCCCTCTCCCTCCCTTCCCCCCTCTTCTCTCTCTCCTTCCCTCTCCTTCCCTGTCCATTTTATAACCTACCGTGCTGCTCGCGCCTTCACTCAGTTTTCAATCAAAGCTCCGGCTGCTATGGCGGCCTGCCAAAATAAGGACATGCTCATTGTTCGGTTGGAAGTAGCTTTCTTGTACTCGTGTCACGCAACATACTTGATCTATAGTAGGCCTCTGAACAAGTTCCCCTATGTTCAAGTGCCAATTAAAACAACAATAGTGTCTTTGTATATAATTTTTCACTTTCTTCCGTGAAGGCTTCATATTTTCGTCCTTTGCTCAAAATTTCTCTTGATTTCGGCGAGAAATTTTACCGCTGGAGGAGGCCACAAGTCGGGGTCCCGCCGTCGCTCGTCACGTTTATACTTTTTTTAAAGGTAGCTTTTATGTGGGTACGGAATGCGGTGGTGGTGGTGCCTCTGCAGGAGCCCCGCAGGAGCCCCGCAGGAGCTAAACACAGTCTCCTGTTGCAGTGGGTTTGCAGTGATTCCAGGGTGCGCCGCCCTGCGCCGCCCGGGCACGCCCCTGCCCAGTCATGGCCCATTAGACGTCATTGCGCATGCGCGCGCTACCTGACGGCGGCCAGCGGAACTGCTCGACCAACCCTCTGATTATAAACACCGAGGGGCCGTTTATACCGAAAGTTATCCTTGCCGAAAGTATATCACTCTGGTCTGGATTACGAGACGTTAATTTGAGAAATCCGTTTGTGATATGTGAAAAGGGGCGTAATACGTTGTCTGTAACACGTCTTAAACGAAAATTCTGAAAGCATCTTACTAAGCACTCAGCAGACATTTCCACGTTGAATTTCTGGTTATGCCTCGAAACATGTCCGGTTTTGTTTAGTGCGTCGTGCTCAAAACAAAAGTTTCCAAATTTTCGTAACTTACTAATTTTGAATTTTTTATGCGTCATTAGACCATGGTCTGCGCCCTGGACAGGTAGAAATGTAGTTCGGCTCGAGGTGGTCCGTCCACTTATTCAATTTGTGACTAGGTTGCAATCAAAATTACCGCAATCACGCGGTTTCATTTGAAAACTTTCCACATAGTCTAGCCTAAAAAATATGAGGTAGAAAAGCGTACCGGAAAGTGCTTTTCCGGATCAATCGCAAACTTCACCGGTAAATGCATGCTGTGGTGATTTGTGCTGAAGAGCAGGGAGCTCTATTTAAAACTTCTGTTGAAATCGTCAATTGAAAGATAACAATGTATCTTTGTAAACTGATGTTTTTCTTGCGGCAGTTTTTTCACATAGGCTGTCTTGATATAACTGGTTGCGGGATTGTCCGCCACTGGAAGAACGTGCTGATACAAAATCTCCTAATGAGATGGAGTAATCGAGCCTGAGTAATTGAATCGGGACGAACCCAAGTAACTCGTGCTTCTACTTTTGTAGTTACGATGATTCGCAAGTTTGTTAACAAGATGGACGTGCATTTCTCTTCCTTTTTAGCAGATGATACCTTAAATACTTTCACTAAATATAGAGAATACATAAGTAACTTTAAGGTGTCAGCTAGCTTTAACTCTCGATAAGCAGGAAAGAGAACTAACAGCAAAACCAGAATTATCTTTTTGAGCGCTGCGGAATGGTGTCCGGGTGAGTGTCGCGCTAACAATACTGCGCGGGATGGGCCCCTTCCCTGCCCAACAATACAACTAGGCCGCCAGCCGCCCTGCCCTTCCCAAATGTCCTCCTGTACGCCACTAGGCCGCCGAATTTCAAGATTGCAAGCAACCAAACAAATAGCAGCTGATGAGAGAAAATAGGAACATAGCCCTATTCATAAATGTGTATCATCTGCTTTCAAGATCGATTCTTGATTGAGATTTTTTTTACAAGCTCCTCGGAGGACCTCGTATGGATCCCGGATCCCCTATGGGGTCCTAAGTCCTAAACATCAAAACGTCTGAGTAGGCAACCTATACTGAAATCTGCCTGAAAGTCACGAATCAGAGTAGGCAACTCATGGCGTAGTGTATCGCCCTTTATCAGCCGGACTACTGCGCATACATTTCGATTCGCACGAATTTGTGCGCAAATATGTACGATTTTGTGCATACGTATGCATAAAAACAACATGCACTTCTTCGCACAAATTTGTGCGAATGGAATGTATGCGCAACTTTGTACAAATAAAACCTACAAATCAGTTAGTGTGTACATTCAATTTTTGAAAACAAAAATTGTAATTGGTTGCGAAACGTTTCGATGCGATGCTTGTCCGGGTTAGGGGCCGTACCCAAAATACGTGACGCATTTTGGGAGGGGGGGGGGGGGGGCGGCTAGAGCCCAACACGAGCTAAATGCCTACCCCGACCGCCCTCTCGCTTGTCGAAGAAGCTAGCTCACTTCACTTTGTAACCGTAGATCTCCATAGACCTCTCGAGTATATATTTTGCTTGATGCAGGCGCCTAGTTTTGGCCAAGCTACGTGACTGTGGATGACCTGCTGAAATGAGCATATTTTTGAGAAAAATAATTGAACAGCGATCCGTTTTCTGCCGGTTCTAAATCGCAAAACCACCATCAAATTAAGTTTTCAGCATCAGCCAGTAAGCGTGTACTCGGTGTACTTTTAGTTAAAATGCTCTTTGTGGTCGTAAATACGTGAAATATTACTCATCCTTAAACCCACATGAGTAGTACTACTCACATGAAAATGGGAAAGGGGGGGGGGGGTTCGCCTAACCTGCTCGCCTACATAGTATGCGTACTCGAAAGCGTGTGTGGGCAGTCAGCCGTCCCAGCGTAGATCGGTGATATTTTTCTCTCGCTAACACCTTGTCTTTATCTCAACATTCAGTGGTCGCCGGGACCGAGACTCCACGCAGCACTGTGTCGACGGGTGGGATCTGCACTTCATAGTGGTGCGTATCTACGTAGCGCGTAGTATAGCGCTCGCGGGACTGACCCGGATTTGACTTGAAGATCCACCTCTCTCTAGGCGGTTTACATATGGATCACCCCTCGCCACGCCACGCCGCCCCACGCTGCTCTGCCACGCTGTCGTCGGGCCCCCCGACTCGCGACTCCCGTTTTCTGCGCAGATTCCACGCCCCGTGCTGCTGACCCCCCACATGATTTTTGGGTCAGCGTATTAGACGACACTCTTGTTTGCTGCGCGAGGATGTTGACTCTCTCCCTCGCGCTGCCCTCGTGCACCTCGTGCTCGAGGGCGCCGCCCTCCGTCCCTCTCGCTCACTGTTCGCTCCCCTGCCTGCTTGTCCTCCGCCAAACGCGCAACAGCTTAGTAATTTTGACGACGCCTCGTTAGAGGTCTTGTGCGGCGTGTCGGCAGTCTTGTCATGTCGCGGGCCGAGCCGAGCCGAGCCGAGCCGGACCGTCCGCGGAAGGTGACCGCTGGTCAGTGGTCTGGTCACACGTTGCCTCGGGCGCCGCGCGGCGGCGGCGTCTGCCGCTCCAACCTGTGTGCGAGTGTGTGTGTGCGTGCGTGTGTGTGTGTGTGTGTGTGTGTGTGTGCGCGTGTGTGACCGAGGATTGGTACAAATGGTATTGGCCCCGCCCTGTGATTCAAATATACTCGTACAGTCTCTCTCTCTCTCTCTCTCTCTCTCTCTCTCTCTCCCCCTTCTCTCTCACATGGGTGACACGCCCAGTGCGTGTACCTCCAGTAATTCGTCCCCCGATAAGCCATCTCTTTTATGGTCTCTTTTAAAAATCCACATAAAGATGATAAAAACGTAACGTCAAGGCTGCCGCCGACGACTGGGGACCCGAGTATCGTTTTCGTGGCTGTGTTGCAAAACCGAAATCCGAGCAGAAATCTCACCGAACCCGCCGGATTCAATGTGTGTCTGGTATTTGACTGTGGCTGGCATTTGACATTCCTCTGCAGCTGGGCCGAGAGTTTTCCGTCGGGAGGGAAGTAAAATAGTCATATACTGCGGAGTATTGGAAATCTCTCTCTCCTCCCCTCGACTTCCCGCACGGGTTTTTAAATTGAACGAGCTGCTTTGTGCAACCGGTCGGCACCCTGCCGTATCTGATGACTGTACGGCGTGCGAGCGAACGCTTTGCAGAGCGATCAGAACGATATGATGACCGCCCCGCCCCGTCC